TTAATTCTTTGAAGTTTACTTCCTTAATATGTGCTTATTATGGTAGTAATGCAATTATTGAGATGAGTTACTTCCATTCAATTAGAAGTTTTGAACTCAAAATAAACCAAGTCTAATTTATTTTTGAGTTCTTTTAAAATTTCCTTGTGAAGCTCTTAGATAAGAGTAAGACTTGATTTGAGTGCTAATAAATAATTTAATCTTTTTTTAGTACAAAATAATTTGGTTCTTCTATTTCAGTCTCACAACAAGTATTAATCTTATGAACTTGTGAATGATTATATATGGCATGGTAAAGTTTTTTTTTTTTTTTTTTTTTTTTTTTTTTTTTTTTTTTTTCTAATTAATTGATATGTATAAGAATTATAATTAATTTTTATTTTTTTATTTATTTATTTTTATCTTCTATTCTTATAAGTTAAAAAAGCTCTATATAAACTTACTTTGGTTTCTTTTGATTTTGGAATGTAAGTTCAAATACCATACTATATTGTATTATTTGAGACTTATATCATTCTAAACAAAATTTAGTTGATCTTTCTTTTTAATTGTAGTATTATCAAAGTCTAATTTAAAGAAAAAAAATTTAGACCCATATGCTTTAGAAGACGGTATCCATATATTTCAATCAAAAATAGAATCAAAGCAATCTTAGTGCTATAAAAAAAGATGAGATTGACTTTCACTAATTTTAAGAAGCTATTATATGAATTGATATAATTATAAGTCTTGTAGCATCAAAGCGAATATATGTTAATAGCTTATGATATAAAACTTTTGAGGTTTGGTCTTATGATGAAGCAATAATAGTTTCATTCAATTGAACAAAACTAGTAGCTAGTACTACTTGTAGAACATCTACAAATTATACCAAAAAAATAAATATTCAAATTTTTTTCATGCAAAGATAGGATATGACTTATCTTCTATTATGGAAGGTACAAGCTAAATTCCTTCCTTAATCTTCTCTTATAATGAAGAGGTTTTTAGAAAATATGGATGATTTTGAAATGTGTGATAACTTATGATCTTCATGACATCCTTTAGAGCCACAAAATCTAGATACTAATCTAAATTTTAACATACAAGATTAGATGTATTTGATAGAATACAAATAGTAAAATGTCATGGATAATGATGGACATGATAAGTAATAATTTTATTTCAATTTTTTTTTTAAATTTTTTTTAGAAAATCTCTTCATTTACTAAAACTTCTTAAGGCATAGTCTTAATTAATAAATTTGTGTAGCTTTTTGAAAAATTAGTGAAAATCTACTTAAAAAATTCTTTGAAACAAAGCATGAAATAATCATATTTCAGTATCAACTTTGATGGAGATTGTTCTTTTTAATAAAATCCATATTATATATTTGTTTTTCTTGGATTTTATTAAAAAGAATAATATGGATTTTAGCTATATCTTTAGCTATATCTTCATTATTATATAAATTTTTAATATTTTATTTAATACATAATTTTTTTATTAAATTATCAATTATAAAATATAAAATTATCAAATTATGGATGATAATTGTGATTTGAATAGGATAAAGTTTTTTCAATCAAATATTTAGTGTATTTTTAAGTAATTATTTTTTTATTAAAAAAAGAGTTATCAAATTAATTTAGTGATTGTTAGCAAGCCTAAAAAAATCTAGAAGTAGATCTAAACCATTAGGATCTAAATATTAGAAAAAAACCTAGACTAATAGGTTCCAAGGCAGCTTTGAAATATCCAAACCATCTAAAGTTAAGATAATAAAATAGAAGAATCTAACATAAGTAAAAAATACTTGACTTATCTAGAAACCAAACAATCTATGAAAATTAAGATGTGAATTCTAAAACAAGATAAGTTAGAAATATCCAACTTACTTAAGAATTAAGTATATAGATTAGATTATATTAGAATAAGAAAATAAATAGTTGCTAAAAAAATATAAATAGCTAATATAATTAAATAGAAGTGATATAAGTATACAACAAGATCAAATTTAAATGGCTCTTTCTTTTGTTGTTCTTATTATTTTATTAAATTAAGATTTCATTATAATAAACTTATATAATCTTTAGTCTCTACATTTTCTTTTCTATCCTACTTTTCTTTTCTATGTTTTAATCAAAGTAATCTTGTATGCCATTTGGCTTATATCAATGATTGGAATGTAACTATTCATGATAATGGTTTCATTTTTATTTTATTTACCTCAATTGAATCACAACTATTCATCTAAAGAAGATTCAAGCAAATTCTCAAAGGTTTTAGAAGATTTTCAAAGGCTCTATGAAATTCTATGACACTCTAGAAGTTTCTAAAAGATCTTAAAAAATCTTAGAAGATTCTAGAAAGTTCTAGAGGATGTTCATAAAGTTGCTTAACTCCCAAGCAATATAAGAAATTACAAAAGAATGTTCTTGAGGTTGCTTCATAATGAAGTAAGAAGAAAATTGCTTAAGAAGCATCCTAGGATGACTTGGGGATCAAAGCCTTCTATAAGAAGTTATTTAGAAGCTTTTTGAATCCTAGTACATACAAGTGTTGAGGTTGAGGGGCTTCTTAGTCATAACAATATATGACTTGTGGTTTAGTTTTGAACCTTCTAATCTTGTTTTGTTATTGTGTTGTTTAGTAATAAGTCTCACATATCTAATTATCTTATTATACTTTTGCATAGTCCTTGGATCTTCTTTGTAATAAGTTGTGTCAACATTATTAAGTTAGTATTGTGGATTGTCATTTGATAAAAGGTAACATAATTAGTATATTATGCTGATCTTTTCTAAGAAGTATTGCAATAATTATTGTATTAACCTATATTATTAATTCAAACTTTCTTCTTCATATATTATTAGTATTTTATTTATTTATTTATTTATTATTTTAGATTTTATATCATATGATTGTTTTTCTTCTATGTCCTTTATAATATTTTTTTAAAAAATCAAAGCAAAAATATTTTAGCAATTAGTTTTTAAAAGATAAAAAAAACTATTTATAAAAATTTCAAACTTTACATATTTTCTTATTAATAGCTATTTTGATGACTAAAGTTTTAATTCTATTTAGTCAATAATTATATATATATATATATATATATATATATACACATTTTAATAAGACCAATTTTTTTTCTGACAAAGAAATAATCATAATAATTTATAAAGTAATGTTTTTAGATTCTCAAATAACTTTGTACTTTATAAATTATTATGATTATTTCTTAAACTATCAAATAACTTCAATGTAATTAATTTACCTCAAATAAGAACTTAATGCAAATGTATCAGCTTTGAAGACTTTTTTTTAACAGTCTAACTTGCTCAACTTTATTATAAAATCAATACATATCTAGCATTATCTTTTTAAACTCTTGAGAGAATCAGAAATGCTTCATAATGAATTATTATACTAAACTTCTTTTTATGAGCACTCATCAGAGAAGATGAAATTATTACTACATATATACATAGTTTTAAAAAATTACAAACATACATTTAAAAAAATACTATATAAAACAAAAATACAAATTTTTGAATTATAATATTACAGCCTTGGCTACAAAAAAAAATATTAAAACCAATATATCTTTTGAGATAATTCCAGACATTATTTATCCTAACAACCATTATATTCTTAATCACCACTTAGCCATTACAAACCTTGCCCACCATTTGCATACAAACAACCTATTTTTGTAGAAAGTTACAAATAGTTAACAAACAAAAATCTTGTATATTATTCTATTCCTTAAATTATATTGTGACGGTAAATTTGTGGTGTGATAGATGTGTATGTGGGTGACGTGGCAAAAAGACGGCACTTTTGCTGTGGAAAAGCAGAGAGGCCAAATGGCGTGACGCCGAACTTGGAAGAGAGAGTTGGTTTATCCGCACTCCATTCATTCAACTTTATCTTCCATTGATTCCTTTGTACTTGTTGCTACAGTACCTCTGTTGATCAGTAGGATCTATATATGGCGCATGTGTTCCACGAGGGGTTATTGCCAAAACTCCAAAATATGTTGCATACAAGAAGGGTGAAATAAGACGATTTTTAACCTGAGGTTTGACATGAATAAGACACGAAATTATTCGAATGAGACTCTCCCTTGTATTGAATAGTATTTAGCTGGTAGAGTTGAATCGAAGTGCATAGCAAATCAAATCAACCACCCTCAAGTTCAGTGCCACTGATTAGGTCCTTCTTCTGGGAATGATGCTCGTGAATGCTGATTGAAATAAATAAAAGGAAAAGGGTGCCGCTTTATATGAACTAGCCTGCATTATAAGACCTGCTTGTAAGGGGTGCATCAGTTGCAGATGATTAGTTGGGGATACTTGATAAAAGCAGCAAATCAAACTTTCTTGCTCTCATTTTTAGCTGATGCTTGTGTCCGTTGAATGGAAGCTGATGCGGACCATGCCTGCAGTGGACCACTTCCAGAAATATGGTGGAATTTTAGTGCGTCTACCGACAAGCCAGGCATTTTCTGCAAATGCCAATGCAGCGTCTGCAAATTGTGATTCTCTTCATGATAGGCCAGGTCAAAACATGATAGTTTTTTTGTACATACATTTATCGGCACATAAAGAAAATTGAAGACATTATTAATGTCGGGTTGTATCACAGTAAGCGTTACGGAGTGACCTTTTGCATCAGAGTACCGAGTGTTGGTAACTTTGGATCTCATATTATGAAAATTTGTTCCCGTTCCAGGTGTTCTGTCCAGAATAATTTCATTTAGCTTGTGCTGCTGAGAATTTGATATACATGACTTCATTTTTATGATGAGCCCCATCTTTGTAACTGGTCGGTCATTTCCAATAAATATTGTTCTACTGACACAATTAGACTTGGATCCTCACCTTGATGTTATTACGTTAGGTTTCCCACTCTTAATGCACTTCAGCGGGTTGCCAGAAGTTCACATTTATTAACAGAAAGTGGACAAGTCATGATAAACTCGGATGCAGAATTTGTTGAGCAATGCAAGCATGTAAATGATCTCACAGAAAAGGAGTGCCGGAAACTATTTTATTGAATCTAATGAGATTTTTGGAGCACGAAAACGGGTAGAAGGGGAGGAAGAAAAAAAGAAAAAAAGTAAAAAAGAAAAAAAGAATGAAAATCCCAAGTGTTCGTAAATGAAAAATAAAAAAATCCTGGCTGCTTCGAATGGAATAGGCTAATTAAATTAACGTGAGAAGTTGTCGGCACCTTCCAAGCCTGTCGAAACATCTAAAGGAGTACCAGTTTCGTGTCCAGCTGTGTCCACCAAGTGTAGTTCTTCACGCATTTGAGTAACACCTGCCTCGTCCGTCATCTTCTCAGATTTCTTTGACTTTGACCTGGTCCCTGGCTTGCAACGCAGCTTGTCGAGGTGATGGTCACACAATTGGTACCCAGGTTTGGCCAATAGGGGACAGACCCAGCCCTTGCCGTCGTTCCTGTGGCACTGGTTGCCGAGAGTTTCAGCATTTTCTTGCTTGATGTATTTCAACTTCTTCGGACGGCCGATTCTTCCAGGCCTGATCTTCACTTCAGTCTCTGGCTGGGAAGCGCCAAGTACGGCACGCTTTCGTTTTCTTCCGGTTTTCGGGACATTGTCCTCACTACCAGTAGAAGTATGAAGTTCGTCTCCAGTACTAAACTCAGTTTCTTCCGAGTTTCTACTTGGCAAAGAATCCCTCTCAATCGGTGACCCCTGATCAGTAATATCCTGCTCTACATCTATCACTGAGCTGCAGAGGGCAAACTTCCCCTCTCCAAGTTCCATGTAATAAGGGGAGTTACGCAGTAGATTCGCAATGTGCTTACTGGATTGAGCTGCACCTCCCTCAAGTCCAGCTAATCCTTGCTTCCTTATTTCAGACATTATCTCCCGAGGTGTAAGACCAGCCCTGCCAGCTCGCAAACATACTGTATACACTGAAAACATTATATTCTCCCTTCTCTGTAATGATGGGTGGTCTGGTGACAAAGATGGATGATTTTCGAGAATTGTTGCTGTGGTTCGTGGAAGATATCCTGTGCATGCGGTTGACAATCAAAGCATGTAATGGTATCAGATGAATCCGCAAATTGTCTCTGAAACGTCAGGTTAATGAAGGATTTCAGAGGAAATGAAAGCACATGTTGAGCGAATTGAAACAAAGTAAACGTAGAATCAACCCAAGCATCGGGGCAAAAAAAAGAAGGCCTAAGTAGATTGTGGTTCAAAGCAGCGATATAGATTGTAGATCAAACTTGAGTTGACTGTAGACAACTTTGATACAAAGAGGTACACTGACGAGGAATTGTCCCTACCAGTAAATGATGAAATTCTTCTGTTCCTCCTAGATCTGCGCAAAATCAGACAAAAGTAAATCTATATACTTTTCGTTCATGAAAGTGGTAAACTGAGAGGTTATACTGGTCAGGAGGGTAGACAATTCAAACAAAAACAATGAGCGATAAAGGTTCCAATGAAAGTGTTAGGCCAATAGCAGTGTTTTAAGGCTTACTTCATCATGAGAAAATCAAAATCATGGTAAACATTTCAACGAAAGGAACAGATGAAGACCTTCGTTGAGTAGTTTCAGTAGACGTATCCTGATTCTCTTCGCGTGGAGGAAGAATTCCATGTCTGAGCTCTGTATACTCAGCAATCTAAAGAACAAAAACAATTATCAGTTCAAGACCCACTGTGGGTAAGAAAACAAGGTAATCCCATACTGCACGAGGGACTTGATCCGTAGACTCCTTTGGAAGTAACAGCTAGTGTGCGGGTAATTCTGATCCAAGTCCAGCCGCGTGCAATGGCATTAAAGCTGAAAAAAATGACTACGTCTTACCAGATCTGTGTTTAAGCTAAAGAAATGCAGCACTAGTTACAGGGCTAGTTGTAAGAATACACTCGAACAGCAAGTTCTTCCTGCATAACGGACAGTCATGCATGAATAGGGTTCCCATGTCCAAATTTCTCCTGCAAGGCTAGCCAGAAAGAGCATCTCCTCCAGGGCACATGTCTCTTGTCTGCATACATCATTCTAGCCAAATATTAATATATGCTGTCTTCCACGTCACAGCTTCGTCCTCACCCGTGTGCCTTTTTACAAGCTAAGCGGAGGAAAATTCAGCAACATCCCTCAGACTAATGGTACGGAGAGTAACCACTAAACACCTTGGGACTTATCTATCTGCTTGCATGACCATTGCAGCAGAAGGTTGCAGTCATCATCGTTCCAATTTCGCAACTGTGTAATTGTATTACACCAGTATTAAGTCACGCACTTGCCAGAAAGAATTAACTTACAGATCACTATGTTTTACTGCACTTTGTGGCAAAACTAGGCTCCCAAACCATAAGCATGCCGGTGCACTGCATCAGCTTTCATATGGACAAAAGTCTTCTTTCTCTACAAAACAACCAAATGAAACAAATAATCTTTGCAGAAGAAGAGATGTCAACGTTAAGAGCGCTGAACTTACTGAAGCTTTGTAATATTCAGGATTAACATGGTACTGCTCGAAAATAGCTTCATCGCTCTCAGGCTGAGGTGAAATACTAGTGCACGGTACGTCCTTTACTATCCCAGATCTTTTGCTTTCGCTGGGCAGTGGTTTTTCAGAACTTGTCCCTGCATCAAATGATTCTTTTTCTAAGCATGAACATCATCAGATGATATCCCAACCAAGATACAATTCTACGATTAACTAAACTCAAAGGCCGAGTCATAGAAACCAATGTTGACAGTGTAACCTGCAGTATTGCTCGCCCGCTCCCAATAGTTTGAAGGTTTTCTGCGAGAATGTTGCATCTCTACTTTTTGATTTTCGTTTTTCGCTAACAAAACCTCCAAATTTTCGACCTCCTTGACGGAACAAAATGTCTCATTTACTTGAGCAAGTGGAGCCGAAATTGAGCTTTCATCTCCGGAGATTAAGGCAGGACTAAGGGTTCCAACTCTCGCTTGTTTGGAACTTAAGTCCGAACAGCCAGAACTGTACCTCTCAAGCTCTTCAGGTGCATTCAAATCTATACCCCCAACTAAACGGCTCACATCCTGAGAGCCTTCTTCATTTACCTTACTGTGAGCTTCCTTTTTTGATGAACCAACGCCTTCGTCCTTCTTCGTCAGGAAACTAACAAACTCCTCTAAATTAGAATACGGTTCTAATTCGATAAAACCTTTGGAGTGCCGCAATCTGTCCAGCCACGTGAACTGAGAGCGAGAGGTAGAGTCAACCTTTTCAATTCCGACAGGCACAAGGCCTGCCCCACTTCCTTCATCTAACCCTCCTTCTCTCACCACTTCTGCATTGTTCAGGAACTCTTCTTCTGACTTCTCCTTCACCCCTCTGGAGCTCAGCACCAAATCAGATTGTTCTTGGCTCCCGAGATCAGGATTCGCACCTGACGAGGAATCCTCTCCTGCGTTTCCTCTCGAATGGTGCTTGCGAATACGCATATTTCACTATCACCAGCAATAGCTGTGCAATTTATCCGACAACTCCTCGAACCACAACAATATTCTGCCACCCAAATCGAAAGGAAGGTCAGGAAACCGTCCACTATGGTCCGAGAATCCGGAAAACTAATCTACTGTAAAAGTTTGGTATAAACAAACTACTAGCTTCAATACCATAGCGTGCTATTACGTTTGCAGTATTTCGTCTCATATATTAAGAATCTCATGCATGTTTGAGCTACCCAAATGTCCGAGTCGCAACGTGAGAGCGGTCAACTTCGAACTACTGTTAGACCTGCGAAAAAACCTCAAGAAAGGAAGTGGAACAGTGGTCCGTAGAACACAGTGTGCAGTGTCGTAAAGGAAGAGAACCGGTTCTAAAACTTAGCATATGGAGATTTGAAGAGAAACCGTAACGTAGCGAATACTCTCAAAAACGCTTCTTACTGCACTATCCTACTGAACGCCGCCAAAGGCCAAGAAATCTAATCACAATAGTGATCAGGGGCCTGCAACACGACTGTATGAAGTGGACTTGAGCTTTGAAATATTGCCGAATCAATAAATAAAAATTGAGAGCTTCCAGGTAACCTGTGAGTTGAGATGAACTTACACCGAGAAGGATCGACGCCGCCAAGGCAAAGAATTGCAAGAGCAGCCTTCTCCAGTAGAGTTCCTGCAAACGCTGCAAGCTTCACTCTAGGAACTCGCAAGCCGCCCTTCTCACTCAAGTAACGAAACTGGATAGCAATGGATCACAGAGGATCAGGTGAAACCGGAAATTCGGATGTTGACAAGAATTGTTCATCTAAATTTTTCAGAAAGACACAAGTGAAGCAAGGCTTTGCTCACATGCTTTAACTTCCCAGAGGCCCAAAACTTGGAACAAGTGGCACTGCCACATGGCAGACATAGGGCAACTCCAGAAAATATCATTCACACTATCCCGGGCTTTTCCACTGCTTCTGGACCTTTAAGGCTTTTACCTGCCTTGAGGCCTAGACTAATATTTTTTAGAAGACCTAGGGCAAAACATTGGGGAGCAGGTGTAATAAAACTGGACATACCGGGTACATGTGGCCATTTCCGGGTATCGTCAAGTTGGCGGCACTGGAGAGGCGGCAACATGCAATTGCTCTGCAAATCGAGTGTGGAGCCCTCGAGACACTAGAGGACTCGCCGACCAGCTCAGTCATCACGAGAGAGCTGAACTTTTGGCGAGCCATGTTATTCCTTTCCATCAGAAAGTACTGCAAAAGCAAAAGCCAAGACTAAAAATCGAATCCAATTTAATCAGCTTCCGCGAAAGCACCAACTCAACACCCAAAATTTGGTGCCAAACCCTAGGCTTACTAAACGGATGCAATGTGGAGCGTTCTGAGCTAATCTTCGACTAGATCACTGATTGAATGCACACGTGTTCTTATGCTCCCAACCTCAAGTTTGCATGCCTCTGTCCGGCGATCGTGAAGCTCGATATTCAGGTGCAATCGATGAAGATCCAGAGCTTCCATCCTTAGAAATCTCGTCTGGCTTATCCCGCCGCTACCTTTCCACTTCTGGGCCTAGATTTTGCCTCATGCATTCACCCTAATCATCAAGCCAACACCGTACCTGAAACTATCTCAAATTCTTAGATCACTCATAAAGTAGCTAACTTGGCAACCGCAAAGGAACCCTAATCTGACAACAACGAATGGGATAATCAGACACTAACCTACAGCAGCAGACGCAACACTAAACTCCAGGTCAATGGCCAGGTCTAGGGTTTGACGACAATTTAAACCACAATCATAATGATGTTGCTAGATATGCGCGACGTGAGTCTCGAATTCATGCACCTTCTCGAAAGACTCCTGTACATTGCTTCTGGTCAAAAGTTTCGTGTCCACCATTGCTGATTAGGCTGGATTATCGAGGCGGCTTTGTAGTGGGCATTTGCAAGTGCATTGCGAAGGCATTTTCAGATTTCAGACTCCGCTCACAAACCCACCTTTCCATTTTGTCAGTTCAAAGTCGGGAAGGAAGTCGAGGTTAACTCGTGCGAATTATCCCCTTTTGTTTTCGACTGAGATCCTTTTAGTGCAGTGGACCACCTCATTGGTGTTAAGATTTGACAACATTTCTTTTTTCTTTTTTTTTCTGAGTTTAAAATTGTGTTCGGTTTTAAATCTGTGATTAGGACTAGTTTACATGGTTATGCAACTTCTGCCTTTTCTTCCCCTCCGTTAATGAATTCTAAAGACTCATGCAAGTTCCATTCGTGGTCATTGGCAACAATAGAAAGCTTCTCGACCACTTCCGAACATGTGCAACGCCTCAAATGAAATGCAGAAAATGAAAATATAGATGTACACACACACCCACACACCAGAGGACACAAGGCGCTAGAGTAAGCTTGGTTGGATAACGCTGGTTCTCAAGAGTTCTACTGCCATGTGGTGCCATAAAATTCAATTCGATTGCGGACAGAGTGGCTAATGCACCTGAAAGGATCAAACCAAGTTGACCAGTTTGGTACAGCCCCAGGTACATCATCCAAGAACACTCATGACTAGTAATAATGGAGGCTGTAGATCAAAGCCCTCGGACACAATAGTACATCAAGTCGATGGACATACTTTAATCAACCACGAGAGTTTCAGCATGCCTCGAGCTCTGTAGCATTATACTAAACCTATATGCCGTTCATTCTCAATAGTTTTGGTGTGGATCTAAATCTTCACGTCGCTCCGATTTTAAATCTATACTGGTAAGTGCATTTCTATTAGAACCGGTGTTTTAAAAAGCTGAATGCAGAAATATAGAATTGGGGTCCTTGCAGACCGGTTTGCGTCACTGTCGGTACGACAACCGCTGCCACCATCTCGCTGAGGACAGGTTTGAGATTTGATAATATTGCACGCGCCCGACCTGAGCTTCCTGTACATGTGCCTTCTGGAATGAGTCCCGCCCAATGTTTCGGGTCAACATTTTCTTGTCCATCACAATTAGTTTGACTGGATTACAGGACTAGCTTTGAAGGTCGAATCTACAAGAATATGGTCTGTTACAGAGCTCACAGCTTCGATCTGAGCCTTTTCAAATAAAAATTCTGGAGAAGGGAAAGTGGAGATTAAGCAGCACATTTTACCAAAGCACCTGGGCTGCTAGGGGACATTCAATCGAAATCCTGACTAACCTAATCCTGTACAATAAATTTTGCCACATCCTTAAAATGCTGATGGCATGACCTAAGAAGCTCAGTCGCACCTTTTAAAAGCTGTTTCTCAGTCCAACCAGCTCCGCGGTTAAGTCAAGATGCTCAGAAAATGCCTTGATCATCATAAATTCCGCTGCAAGGCTAGGATACCCATCATTTCCTCGAAAACGTCGTAGATGCATTCTTACGCACCAGACCCAGCTCCGCAGACTTACTACATCCTCATATCCTGCGTGCCAAAGATGAATCCATAGTTATTCAAGAAGAAATCGAACAACACAACACTTACATATTCACATAGCAAATGTCGTACTTCAGTGGTTTGAACGTAGCTGTTTGCATTGGTAAGCACTGGCAAGTCATTACGCATTCGCATCTCACACACCGTTCCTCCTGTAATAAAGACTCACAAGCAGTAGAATTCAACTCCACAAACGTAACGAATAATTCACCACCTATGCACGTTGCATTCTCCTTCGTGAAACTGAAGTAGTGGAGGTTGAAACGAACTCTGCAGACACAAATACCTACTACTGTTTCTGATGAAGCTGCAAACATAATCAGATGGGCTGACAAATTTGACTACGCTCCGAATCCCTTCATCTCGCATCTCATGCTCTAGTACTCCACAATAGCTCCCACAACATCAAGATAGTGAAGAAAGCACGCATGTTCACCTTCAGATCATAACTTCCTGAATGGCTCCAATTCCTGCTCCAACAAAAACACAACAACTCATCGCGTGAAGGTATGTCTGCGTGTGAAGACTCACCCTAACCCACAACCACTGTGACTCCTACGATTCTTCTTCACAATCAAAATCCTAAAAGCGCTTCAAAGTCACGAATCCTAAGAGTGACGCCCCAAAAGAAACTGCTTTGAAGGATATATTAAAAAGCACAATTTTATGGTGTTGTGCACACCAATGAAGCGTGCGTTGGATTCCGACTTGTGCACTTTTTACCAAATATAAATCCTGATAATTTTGGACCTAATTTTTTGAATTTTGGTATATCAAAATACTTGGTGTTCACAAACCATTAAAAGCATATTAATACTGTTCATGCTTTTCGGGTGTGTTCTTAGCTCTCTTAACATTACTATTTTAGTATGAAGAATTTAGTGGTATTTACTGCCCAACATAATTTTACATTCATGAGTGCAAAAAAAAATCACACTAATAATGGAAGTGAAATTTATCTTACTCCATACTTTCTTCATGTACAACCTTGCTAATAATATGTATTATAACTTTAAAGTTCTATTTTTTTAATAGATACACTAAAGACCATATATCATTTTATGGCTCTTGTATTATAATGGCATCCAATTTTAAGCCTCTTTAGAAATACACCAAATAGTTGAAGGGATTTTTTTACCTTTGTGTTCATCCATAAAGAGAAGACACTGAAATATGGTTGAAGAGAAGAAATGAATAGATAATTTCAAGAATGGAATGTGAGAATTAGAAGTTATTTTAAGACTTGTGTTCACATAAGAGTTGTAGAATGCAACAACTTGGCACTTTGGGTGCACAAATTAATTACACATAAAGTAACATCTATTTACTTTATCAAAGTTGGAATTATTTTCAAAGTGAGATTTAACTTACTTCTTCAAATCGGTTGTAATGTTTGGTAAATATGTTTATTTTTTTAAGTCATCAAAAAGTTTTTGCAATGTAATACCCTTTTCATTCACTTCTAAGAACTAGACATACAAAATATAAAACAATGATTGTTTGAGTTCTTTTTATGAATGAACTTGCTCTTTCTCACTTTTATAAACTTTGAACTTCTTTTTAGCATTGATTGAAGTTGAATTCTTAACCTTGCTATATATGATTATATCTTCATCATTGAGTTGTATGAAAATATTAACAACATTTTCAATTGTCTTAATCACAACTACCCTTGATTAAGAGCTATATATTACTGACCACATTTCACATGAAATTATTCATCAAATTTCACGGTAATATTGTAAGAAAAGTTATTTCCTTCATACATGCAATAATTCATTGTAACATAGCCATTAAAGTATAGAGATCAAATTTAAGGAGTTTACATTCTTAAATCCAAGAAGTAAATAGATTTCTTATATAAGATATTGATACTTCCTCCTTATTAATAATTATGGTAAGGCCTCATAACTTTGATAAATTCTTCAATTACAATCACAATTTCAAATATCTAAATGCTATTGACTTCAACAAATGAATAATTGTAGAAGGATAAATAGCCAACCATATCTGTAACAAGGTCTAGATATAATAATTGTATAGATAATTAGAACCACAAAAGTTTCTAGAATTGGAGTTAAGTTAGTGGACTAAGTAGGATCTATTGTGGAACATTCTAAAAAGAGTTTAAGATGATTATTTAGATGAGACATACTATAGAACCTTCTAAAAAAGACTTAGGATGGTTATTTAGATGGAATCCACTTAAAAACCTCCAAAAAATGAATTTAATGTAGTTATTTAGATGGAATTCACTACTTAGGAACATTCTACAGAGTCCAGGGTGGTAGAACAAGGTATAAATAGGATGGGCCAAGGCCTTTTGGAGCATCTAGTCAAGTATGGCTTCAGATCCTTTATCGTAGTAAAATTTGGTTCTGTATCTTTCTGTTAAGATCTGTTCTGTTTTGTTTCAATTTTCTCAGTTTATCTTTTATGTCCTATTTTGGTTTAGTTCCATTTAGTTTTGTTCTATTCTATTTTATCCTATTTTGTGATGAAGCTTTATATTGCTATGGTTTAGAAGGAACTGTCATGGACATACTCATATAAGCCACTTATTACATATATAAACAGGTAAAAGTAAGTAAAAATATATAAAAATAAGTTAATTTTATAATATTTGGTATGAAAGCT